ACTGGAAAATGCATTTATTGACTTTATCAATTCTAAAAATTCTGAATTCTACTCAGACGGAATTAATAAGTTACCAACACGTTGGGAGAAATGTATTGAGAGTATGGGAAATTATTTTGATTAAAGAACATTGCTTTAAAGTAACTAGTTTCTTTTTTTTTGTTTAATACCAAAATCCTGCATTATTTTCCGGACAACCCAATACAAATTTAAGCCAGGCCTATAACGGGACAAAAGGCGTCCCTTCCAAGGGTATATTATCGTAAAAATTCCAATTTTCCAAACAGGGCCAACGGTGTCGTGGTTCTCAATTACCGAGTAAAAGTAGGCCTCCCTGCTGATGGGCCCTACGCGTGTCCCTGACACGGGCAATTAGCATAATGGCAGGCCAGTTCCGTTGAATTTGGAATTTAATAAACCGACATTTCCCAAGAGGGAGGACGCCCCAGAGGCCGCACGCCCACAGATTCAGCCTCCACCACGTGTCAACGTCAAGGCTTCAAACGGAAATGCGAGCTCGCTTTAATTCGTCAAAAGACTGGGATGGTTTGTCATTGGAACCGTCGCTTCATCTTGTTAGCCAAGCCTGTTAAGTAATTAAATTTAATAGGGGAAACAAATTTTATCACATTGTAAAGGACAGCTTTTATTAGAATGGTCGTATACCATCTCCGGTTGGCGCTGCAAGCGTCTATCAGACAAAACTACCAGACGATTAAACTGCAGATCCATCAACCTAATAAAAATAGTATTAAACTTTATTGCGAAAAAACAACAGAAAATAAAAAGGCAAACTAAATAATTACAAAATACATTTTTAAATTGACTGACAATTAGCCCAACTCTGGACAAAAGCCTATTCTAGGTGAAGTTTATCCTAGGCTGCACAAAACAGTAGAAAATTCTTAAGCCCATCATTCGTCATCATTTTTACCACTTTTATTTTTCATTCGAGTCGATAGGAATCCACACCAAGCAGCCGTTTACCCACCAATCTTCCTTCATCTGGCAAAATTGCCGCTTCTTTCATTACATCTATAATTCTTTCCATTAAAATTCGGCTGGAAGATACTAAGACAAATCTATTTATATTACCAATATTGTTAAATTATTTTTTCTATTGATATGTTGAAAAATTCCAAGATCTCAATGGTTGAAAACTTTTATTCAATTGAATAAATTACATGGGCGTTTCGGGCACCTGGCCCATCATCAGAATCTAAACATTGAGAAATCTCATGGTATAATTCACAATCTGAAGGCACACCCATCAGGTTGTGAATTATACCATGAGATTTCTCTATGTTTAGCTGCCGAAGTTGGGCCAGGAGCCGGAAATGTACATGTCATTTACTAAATTGAATAAAAGTTTTCAACAACGGAGATCTTGAAATTTTTCAACCTATCAGTAGAGAAGATATGAACCGTAGAGTTGGTAATATATAAAATAAGATAAATTATTTTTGTATAAAGTGGTTTTGTTTTTTAAACCTAGCCTATTTGAAAAATCTCATTGAAATAGTTTCACTTTTGTGTTTGCTTCATTCGTCGGAACCAATACCAATTATTTTATTACTTGAAGTATTACCCGACTTTTTCCTGACCATTCATTTATCATAAATAGCAGTTAATTAAGGTTTTCAGTTGAGATAAAAAAGTCAAAGGCAAGAGCGGGATTCGAACCCACGATCTTCGGCTTGATATGCCGCTGCTCTACCCTTGAGCTAACGTGACCTCGATCCACTCGGACACCAACCTCCCATCTCAACCACACCTTTTGAATTTTCCCTCCTTTTTGCCGTTTTTCAAAAGGTGTGGTTGAGATGGGAGGTTGGTGTCCGAATGGATCGAGGTCACGATAGCTCAAGTGGTAGAGCAGCGGCGTATCAAGCCGACGATCGTGGGTTCGAATCCCGCTCGTGCCATTGACTTTTTTATCTCCACTGAAAACCTCAATTAACTGTAAGATATTGATTGGTCAAGCGGACCACGAAACTAGTGAATTTAATAAATAGCAGTATTTCTCCTGTCCTGGCTTGGAACGTTGGTACAATAATTCCATGTGGAAAAAAAGTATTGCCGCTGACTTTCTCGATGTTGTGCAAGCAGTCAATCGGGTCTGGCATAGTGGGATGCTGGGTAAACTAAAAGGCATCCTCCCTACTATCTACTACCTTATCCTAAAGGCCTACTTTGCCGATCTTTACTTCTGGGTAGCGTTCGGTTCTTCCCGTTCACCTATCCATCCTATCATGCGCGTCCCAAGGTAGTTTCTTGGTCTAATTCTATAACTAATATATTCTATTAACATCTCTAATCACCGCAATACTTCCCTGTTTACATTGACAAATGACACTGCTATCCTGTCCACTCCTAATGATCCTATCCTTACAGTTAGATCCCTTCAGTTCCTTACCATCGTTGAGCGGCTAAAG